TGCGCTGCCGCTTCTCCAGCCCTGAGGACGGGAGCTCGGCCTCAGCACGGTGTGAGCACCTCGGCTGTGCGCAGTGCGAGCTGGATGCTGCCTGCAAAAAGACTGCCGAGATGTCACCTTTGAGGCAAGAAAAACCCAACAGACGTTTAACCGTTTTATTGCCATTAACCTCACCAGACGTGAATGCAGGTCTGTGTGAGCCTTCCCACAGGAATCCAGCTCTGACCACAGCCAGCGACCTCAGCTACACTTCTTCATCCAAGGCGGCAGCCAGCGGAGCCCTTGGCATAGGCAGTACAACCCTGGGAGAAGGTTCCCGTGGTGGCAGAGTGCCTGGGGAAGGGTCCCCATCCACGCGCCGCACGTAGGCTGCTGCCACCAGTCTGTTCCCACGGGATAACTCGGACAACAGTCCTTTCTGCATGCAATGTCTCCGGCATCAACGGTGCTGCTACCACGTGCTGTTGGAAACAGCAAATGAAGGCGCAAGAAACTGTATTTACTCCCTATTTTCAATATTACTGTGTGGAGATATTTAATATCAGCTAGTCCTTATAGAGCGTCTGCCTTTTGTAGCCTCAGTTCGACAAGCTCCTCTCCCTGTATTTGGGAAATGCCATTTCTTGTGCATTTTGCTTTTAGCAGCGTAATACAGTCGGGCTTCACCTCCCTGAGCCTGATAAACTGAGTGACTCAGAAACCTGCAATCTGCTTCAAAACAAAGCATTTAAGATAAAAGATATAAGCAGTAATGGAGCTGCGCAGCTCAGCAGTATAAGTGCTAGAGGGTTACTCATGTACTCAAAAAACTTCTAACCTTTCTTCAGCTTTTTTTAACCCCTGCAAGCCCTGGGCAAGGCAGGCTGCAAATAAGAGCTGATATGTCATTTCAGATATGCTTCCACTCCAGTGTGCAAACCCCGGAGCTGGGACGTGGAAGGAGCTCTGATGCCAGCACCGTGCAGCGAAGATGATGCGGAAGGGGGAGAGCTGAGCACTTGCTCCGTGGCCTCCAAAGTGCTCTTATTTCTGCTGGTTAAACAGATGCCAGCTTCTGAGGGGATTATGTGTCATCGAGCCTGTTGGCTGTGACAACTAATTATCCTCAGCAACAGTTTGGCCTTGAGTTTTGCGGTTCAAAGGGCATACCAGGAGTGCTGTCATCCAGTGCCATGCATAGCACTTTGTCCCCACTTGGGTTTCCCTGTTCCCAAAGAGGTGACACCCCCAACACATCCCACCTTCTGCCAGCTCAGGCTCGCACCCAGCGGACCAGCAGGTCCTTCCAAGCAGCATGGACAGGGAGCACCGGCGCTCTGGTGAAGCCTCAGAGATACCTCCAGCAGGAACCGAGAACAAGCAGCAGCTAAAATCAGCTCAGCATCCAAACCGCAGCCTGCCTGAGCTTCCCATTCCCACAGCGGGATGTTAGCGTGGCAGCCGTGCCACGGCACATTCCTCTGGCTTTGTGGGGTGCATGCGCCGATGGGGTCCAGCTCAGCTGCGGCCAAGTCCAGGGGAAAAAAATACCTGCTGCAGCCTGAGATGGGAGAAGTTCCAGGGGAGAGCAGCCAGAGGAGTAAACAGTTTTGGAATGCAGCCTCAAAACCAGCACTGAAAATGTTGTATACCTTCATGTGAATTGATGGCTGACCCTCACTGAGACTACCAGGAACAGACGAAAAACAGACCCAGGCAACTGGAAGAATTTGTCATTGAGAAACACATGGAGAATGACGGAAAAGACTAGAGATGAGGAAAGAGATGAAGAGGGGAGATAATAGAAAAGGCAAAGTGGGTGTTGGCAAGCAGGATCAGAGCTGGTGTGCCCAGCAGCCGGGCTGGATGCATTAGCATGGGCGTGACCCCGAGGCACCGGACTCACGGAGCTCAGCTCACCTGAAGCCAGGACAGGCTGGGTTTTGGGGATACTGAGTCACAGCACTCTGTCACAGCACCAATTAAGCACTGGGAAGCAGTGCCCTCACCCAGACAGATGCTAGAGACCCCGCCAGCTGAGCTTCCTATGGAGATATCCCAACTGGGATTGGAAGCTGGATGCTGTCTGGGAGGAGAGGGTGGATGGGATGGATCCTGCTTGGCTCTATCGCTATCATCCTGCCCCCTCGAGAGGCTGGCAAGATGCACCAGCTCCCCCAAACCTCTGATCCCCCAGAGTAACCCAGGTGGGGCCAGGCACATGAGGCTGCATCACCGCCATGGACAAGGACGCGAAGGGAGGTGAAGCTCTCCAAGCCTCACAGCCAGGTTGTATGCAGGATCAAATCAAATCTGGAGCTAATTCGCTGCCCAACACCGCATGGAAGAGCCATAGGCTGTGCACACCAGTAGCAAGAGTGAGAACCCCCTGAAGTCCCAGCACGCGGCCTGGGGTTTAAAGGATGCTGCTGTTCACAAGCAAATCATTGCAGGTTGAAGGCAGTAATTGCGGTAACGAACTCCTCCGTCACTGTGCTGTTGTGATGCCGAGTCCTTTGGCCAGTTTGCAGTAGATTTCTTCATTTGCTGCACTCCCAGCATTAAAGGAGGATCTCAAAGGCAAGAATAATTAATAGGGAACATTAAATCGAAGAGAGTTGAATCATAGGAAAATACAGAAAATGAAGATGGAGAAAGTGATAAAGGTCTTCAGGGTACTGCCAAGAGCTGCAAGAGGGAAAGAAAATCCTTGCCTCTCTTACAGCTCCACTTTTTATCATCACCTTGAAGTATTTTGTTCCTGAGGACAGAGGAGAGCCTGGGTCTCTGAATAACAGCACTGCAGAGCCGCCCCGGTCTGTGGGGACATGTGAAGAAATGCAGCTGTCTCTTAAATAACGGGAGTTGACACCAGTTGTGAATAGATGAGCAATCGTGGCTTCAGCCGTCACAGCGGAGGATCTGATTTCAAATGGAGCCCCATTCATCCATCCAGGGCTCATCATAAGGCTATTAAGGGAGCATCTGTCACAAAACCACAATGGCTTTAAATGCTTGAAAAAGGGCACAATAACAATAAGCCTGCTTAGCTTACATACCTTTCTCTGGGTGAGGTGATTCTTGTAATTCTTGAGCAAAAACGAATGATAAAAATGATGACTAGCCAAAATACATGATGCGAGTGGGGTGAGGTTTGTCTTTCACCTTAGCGTAGAGTTTGGTGGTCTGTTTGTTTTTCCAGGCCAGCGGGGTAAGCGTGCAAGCCGGTGGCAATGAGTTTTCTCGAGTAGCAGAGTGCAGGGCCCCAGTGCTCTAGCGTCCTGCTCCGGAGGCCTGGCTCAGAGCACTCCCTCCAGGACACAGATGGGAAGCCTCTGCTCTCTGATGCAGCAGGGAAAGCATCTCCAGCGGCAGGAGAGGGCGGCGCATTCAGGCCCAGTGGGATGTGCTTTGGCAAGGCGCAGGGGAAGTGTGCTCACCACCAAGTCGGTGTGATTGGGACTCATCGGGGCTAAATCCACACTCTACGTTAAAAAAAAAAACGCATTTAGCTAAACTGAAAGAGAAAGTCAAGCTTAGACATCATGGCTGTCTTACGTGAATGCTATGAACGCTCATACCTTCTTGCACTCACCAGTAAACTCATACTCACCAGAGACAACAACATCTTTTCCTTTCCTACAGCTGCACAGCTCCTCTTACTTCTCTTTATTCTCTGCAAGCAGCATTGGGCAAAGGTGCCATCCTCTGGCTAACACCTGAGTAGTACCCTCCCGTCCTGCCCCTGGCATGTCCCCTCCTGCCCTGCTGCCTCTTTGGGTGGCATCCAGCCTGCCAAAGCATGGAGGTCGAAGGGCAAGACCACTGCTCATGCACAGGCCTGCTTTATTATATTCATGGTATATTGAAAGCACCTCGTGCATTAGATTGATGCTCCTGGGGCTGGAGGTAGGCATTTAGGCCCTATAATGCTCATCAAACCCCCTTTAAGAGGAACTGGAGTGTCTGCGTGCAGCTCAATGGCGGTGAGAAAGCCTTCACTGTGGGTGATGCAGCTCTGTGTTTACAATTCATATTAAATTGTAATCCAAATTCCTCCTTTCTTTATAAATTATATTTAGTTGGGCTGAGCTGGTTTGAAGAATTGTCTTGAATGTGGATGAAAAAATGGATTGTGGTCATGTGTGCGCAGCTGTTGGGTTCCTCTACAGAAACATTTTGTACTGAAAGATTGGACTTCTTACCCAAAGTTTCAGTCTATGGAGGCATTGCCTATGATCATAGGTTCTGCCTAGAGCAGAATAAGGGTAAATGTTTTAAAACTATCCAAGCGTTTTAGAAAGCTAAATCTCCCCTCTACCCCCCAAAAAGCCCCGATTTATACTCCCAGATTACCACCATCTAAGCAGGCCCCTGGATTTTGTCCAAGCGCTGCATCTCCCGCAGTCCCAGCCCTATGCTGGATTTCAGACTGAAGCAGTGACTCACTCGGGCAGATTCATCTCTCTTAATTTGAGCTGACTGGAGGCAAGGCATCTCGTTGGAGCAAGCTGCCCCATCTCCCTCCCTTCCCAGCAGAGAGAGAGGCATCTCCCAAAGGTGACTTGACCTGTCTGTTCTGGGAGCGAGACCTATACACTCCAACCTCTTATCTGAAAAGGCTGTGACGTTCTGAATAAACCCTTGCAGAAAAGCATGTGTGTGTACAGCATCCAGCACGATGGACCGATTGGGACCTTCGTCCCTCAGGGAATAAAAATAGCAAGTAATATTAAAACCCTGTATTTTCACAGATTGCAATCAGAGCTCACAACACATGCACACTTAATTTCCTGCTTTCAGTTCACTATCAGATTTTATGCTTAGGTTAGTGGGGTTTGTTAACGTTTCTTTTTCCCCCGAATAGGACTTTTTTTTTCCTTTAACTACAATACATTCAGCCATGAAAAATGAGTTTGAAAAAGATTAATAGGAAGCTGAAGGATTAATCTGAGATTGACAAAGATTAATGTGTGTCTTATTCTTATCTCTTTTCTTTTTCTTTTCCCTTCTTCTCTTAGCTACCTAGACAGCTTAGATCGAATCGGAGCTGCAGACTACCAGCCCACGGAGCAGGATATCCTCCGAACCAGGGTCAAAACAACTGGCATTGTAGAAACCCACTTCACATTCAAAAACCTCCACTTCAGGTTAGTCTAAAACCGCACAGTAAATTTTCAGGGCGTCTATTTGTCACTGTGTTTCCCTATAGCTCCTAAAGGAGAAATTGTTAAACTGCTGGTTAACACACAGATGGCTCCCACTGCAGAGGACACGGCATTTTGGGGGGTCAACAATATGCAATATTTGGCAATCCTGTCTTGAAAATCACTGCCTTTAAGATGGAAGCTCACAGTACCTTCTTCTAACCCAAACGACACTGCTTTGTCGGGAGGTATAATATGAGATTGGCCCTGAGTCTGATCAAGCTCATAAATGTAAAAATATTTGGCCAAATCTTTTCTCTAAAGCGGGTCAGTCATATGTGGTTAACACTATATATTGACCCTCTTGATGCTAGCCAGTAGAGAGAAGAGGGCATGAAGACAGAAAGCCACACACAAACAGTATTTAGAGCATATAAAACTCACGAGCGTGCGGTCTCCACCTCCGCAGACCCTTTGGGACCCAGCACGCTGCTGAGGCTCTCCCACAAATCCTCACATCCCCAGCTGTAACTGCTCCTCCTGGTCCTCCTCGGCTCCAGGCTCTGGAGGGGAAGACCAAGCAGAGTGGTGAAAGAGCTGTTGCTTTGTGTTTGGAGCTTTCAAGGACCGTATGGTCAGAAAATGCCAAGACTGCTGAAGTTTCCTCATAACTAAGAAAGAGCGGGCGCTGATGGTCCTCTCCTGTGCCATAGGCTCTTCGATGTCGGGGGCCAGCGGTCAGAACGCAAGAAGTGGATTCACTGCTTTGAGGATGTCACAGCGATCATTTTCTGTGTCGCGCTGAGTGGCTATGACCAGGTGCTCCATGAAGACGAAACCACGGTGAGTCTAACTGGGTCTTGGAGGCCCCGACATTTCTTTACGGGATACTGCATAGCCAGCAACTGCTCAGAGATCGCCGAATGCTCACTGGGGTGCTACAGTAATGTGCTTTTGCCAGTCACCCCCCCTTGACTTTGAGATCCTGGGGAGATTTGTCCTCCTCCACACTCTTCAAAATCAAGTCCTGCATGCCCAGGTAATGCTCCTTGCACTGGTAAAGTCGCAGTGTTTTATTTCTCCTTTCTAGCTGACCTGTGTGTTTTCGAAACCTGTTAACAGGACCCTATATCCAGAAAGAGGAGATACAGCTAGGTGGGCTTTTAAAACAAACGTAAGGAAGCAGTCATGCCGTGGTGCAGAGGTGCAGGATGGCCATGCACGCCCGAGGCAGGCTCAGACTAGGAGTATAACCTATTTCTTCAGGCTACAGAAATTCATTTTCCTGAGTGAGACTGAAACTGTTTGATTCCTCAGGTAATTTGCTCTAGGAGAGCTTTTATGACTTCCCACTGTGACATTAGGCTCCAAATACCATCTGGAAATAAAGCTAGTGAGGAGCTCTGCGCTCCCTGGTATTTGAGTGCAATTAATACAAGTGAATTAAATACACAGAAAGGATGCAAGAAGACTCATTACTGTCATCTGGCCGTTCATTCAGTCTGTGGGGGATGCATGCTTTTGGGACTAACGATGACTGTGGCAACCACCCAGTTGCATTTGTCTAACGAAAAGGAACCAGAGGCCATACTCAGACTTTGGTAATGATTTAATCCGTGCCCAGCCTGCGGCAGCATGGAGGGCTCGCTCCTGCCAGCTCTGTCTCTCTGAGGGTCTTTTATTCTCCTGCTGGTAAAGATGTCAGGCTGGCAGAAAGCTGTTGATGAGGAAGGAATGGAGGGCAAGATTGCTTTAGGTATCAGTTGTCTCTTCCCCAAAGGGTGGGGCTGTAGTTTCTAGAGCCTTCCGAGCCAGGTTTATGAGCTCTGCAAACTGGTTGATGAAGTCACCTCGTTGTTTGGGTCATATTGATGCCAGAATTCAGGGTGATATTAACATCACGACTATGTCCCTCCAGACTGACTGAGACACCCTACACCCTCTCATGTCCGCTTATTTATAATCCTCAGTTGTCACCTCCCTCTGACCCTGGCCCTGATGTGCTCAAGGATGCTCAGTCCTGTAGGATTTACTGGGAAGGAACCAAAATCTCCTGACGTGATTTGAAACGCCATAGAGCTCTGCAGCTGGGCAGGGGAAACACACCCAGGAGATAAAGAAGAATACGCAGGGAGAGGGCAGACCCAGGGGGCAGGGAGCGGAGCTGTGATCTGAGCAGAGAGCAAGGTGCTCTGTAGCTATAACTGGGCCTCTGACACCAAACCGTGAAGCCAAAGGCAGCCTTTAACACAGGTCACCTTTGGGTGCCAGTCTACACAAGCCAGAGCCTGTGATTCACGGAGCACAAAATGGAAGGGCTTGAATGCCAATGCCATTTTTTTAAATGTCAGCTTTAACTCAGCTCCTCTGAGATGGAGGTTACAGCATCTCTCCTGGGGATGCTGAGCTCTGCCAGTGACTGTCCATCACCCAGTACCACCCCGGTGACGAGCAGGGTGCCAGCTCAGCCTCCCCCGTGAAGCTTCCAGCTGCAGAAACTGGGATTTGAGCAGCTCCAACTTTGCTCTTGCGTCCAGAAAGCAGGCTTGCCTGCTTTCCGGACACAAAAGCAAAGTTGGAGCTGCGCTGTAGCTCAGCACTGACATTTGCTTGCTATTTCAATCCCTTTTCACAAAGTGTTTCTGGGGATGCTGAGCAACAGGAGGGCAGAAGCAGCTGCTGTTCATTTACACGTTCGGCATAAACGGGGAAAGGATTCGGCATCACCACTGCTGTGCCTGCAGGACGCCCCCGCCTAACCCAAATAAACAACCCTGAGCAAGGCCAATGCAAATAGGAAAAAATGACGGTGTCGGACCTTGTCTGCCCTATTATACCCCCAGCACAAACGGCAGGTGGAAAACGCGGCGCCCACAAACTCGGTCCTCTCCCAGCTGAACCCCCAAGCACTCGGCCTCCTCCCTGCTAACATGGTTCCTTTCCAAAAACCCAGCAGTAAAAGCAGCATCTCTTCAGTCAGCTGATTTGCCGTCTGTCTGCATCCGTCACATCTGCTGGCTTTAATGACGTAAATCAGCTTTTATTGCTTCTCACTTAGCAAACACAAAGAGGAGGCAGCTGAGAGAGCGAGCTGGATGCTGCTCCTCCATCTTCATTTTCTATAGAGATGCTTACTATGGTCCAGGCACTTCCAGCTGTATAAAGCCACTGTTTGGGGGCTGTACAGATGTCTCTGTGAATATGAAAAGACTTGTAGAGCTTTCATTGCTGGCGTGGAGCCATGAGAGGGAAAGGGTCCTGATGCATCTCAGGTGCGCAAAAAAATGCTTGCAAAGCCAGTGCGTGGAGAGAACAGCCTTTCCTCCTGCGCTTGGCGCCCCGTTGACAACAATCACAGGATTTCACAGGGTCTTTTTGCACTTCTCTAAGTCGAACCGCACTTCAGGCGGATGAAACTGCAGTTCAAAGTCAGCCTAACAGGGAGCAGGGGCTCGCCTTGTTAAGCTGGCTTAGTGCGAGGGCGTTGGGACCAGTGTAGCTGTAGGGTCAGCTTGTCTCACTGAAAGAAGCTCACGAACAACAGGTTTACTGTGAATCCTTTCAAACAAGACTGAGCAAAGAGCTGGTTAAACAAGGCTGGGTGAAACGCCCCCTGACCTGTCCCTGCCCTTAAAATTCAAGCACAGCTCTACACTTGTGAAGTTTTTTTATGATTTATTGCGCTCTTTATTTTAAAAGACTGAGCACCCATCCTCCTGCAGCAGCTAAAAAAGGGCTATTGTGTGCGAAGCCATCACTCCCTAAGACCAGGTAGTCTTTTATAAGGGATATATTTTCTCTCCAATTCCCTGCCACAAAGAGCAACACAGCAGGAGTCAAGGAAAGCAAGTACTTCTCTATGTCCGGATCAGAAAGACATAAATAAAATAAAGAAAACTTTCTGCATCTGTGATTTCTCGCCCCATACACCCATAAAGACCACACTTTGCATAGAAACCCCCAGTGCTTTTGAATCCAGCCTCTCCCATTGCCCCAAACACCTTCTTACGCCGCCATTGGCAGATCTAAATTGCTTTCTTGCATGCCCGGCTCCCAGGACAGAGGAGCAAACCCACAGGGAAATTCAAGCGGTGCCTTCACCGGTCCCATTGCTGCCAGCCACAGCCCACAGCCAGAGCTCACAAGGCAAAATTACAGCCTCTGCCCAGCCCGTCCAACTCACAAGAGACTCTCTTCAAGGTATTACACCTGCCTCTGCATCCGCCTTTACCGCGTCCCTCACAAGGAGTTGCAGGGCTCTCTGCAGTGTGTGTATACAGCGGGAACATCCTGCTTTAGCTGACTGAACAACCCCATGGATTATGTCTTTGCATAACGAGGCTATTTTGTCTCATTTGTGACTTATGTTTACGTTTCATAAGTTGAGGTTACAGGAGGAAAAGCCTCAGATCTGTAAACTGGGAGGAGAGAGGGACAGCAGTATATTAATTGGTAAAACTGGAGAAGACGATTAACGAAGGTAGATTTCCGTTGTTCCTTCTAAATGGAATTCCTAATGGAATTTAAAAAAAGACAGCAATGGCATGGGACCTGTCGTGGGAACCAAGACTATCCTTTTTGGTTTTTTCCTCGCAAATTCAAAGGAGTCATGGCAAGAGAGGGAGATGTTCACACTGCACATTACTGCCTCTGAAACGAAGATATTTAGGTCATCTGTATCTAGCCAAGACATGCAAGTATTGTTCGTGTCCCCATTGCTGAGCATGGGATGGGCTGAAGGCGCTGTGCTGGTGACCCTTGGTGTGCATTAGTGTTGGCCTCGTGGTTCGTATTTCATTGCATGACCTGGTTAGCGTGCTCTCTCTGCTGTCATTGGGCAAAGAAAATTGAATTGCAGCGCTCAGAAATTGCCTTAGGAGTGACAAAGCAAGTGGAAGTGGCTTGGGCATCTTAGAAAATATAAGCAGGAGGGAGAATATGGAGTTTCTGTGCTTAGGATAACCATCAGTGTCCTTATAGTTCGCATGACAGTTAGCACTTAATCACCAAGGAAAACAAAAAAGATTGAATCGACTGTGTGTTGCAGAAATAACCAGGTCTCCTCCCATGCTCTGGTGAAAAAAAGACGGCGTTTATGAGTGTGTTTCTGCCTGGGCAGAGTCTTGACCACAGCACCCTTTCTCCCTCACGCTCGGTAGAAAGCTGCTTGCCCTTCCCATCAGCGATGGGAACATGGTTGTGCAGTGACATCTGAATTCAGCTCTAAGAAATTCTGTGTCTTCTCTTGTGCAGGAAAAGTTAACTGGACTTTTAATTTGTATGGGCGAGTGGTTATTCCTCTGTAAGGTGGCTGGTGGGGCTGCTTTCCTTGCTGGGGTGTAAAGCATTGGCGGGAGTAAGGATTTAAAATACTGATTTTGAAATAGGAAGTGACATTAAGAAGCCAATGTTTCAAGAACCCTTCCCTTAATGATAGACCCAACATAAAGTAGGAAAAAGCAGCACAATGGGTCCAAAAGCAGGTGAAGTAATTTACATCACTTCCTATGAAAGTATGAGAAGTGTGGTCTTTAATGCCTCCTGGCAGAGCGGGCACGGGTGCTCCCGAGAGGGGCCCTGGGGAAGCTTTAAGGGACTAAAACGGTCTTTCACTATGAATTTACTGGTAGGAGGGGGATTATTTGGGGACCTTAACTTCTCACTCCTCCTTCAGCAGCAGCCTGTCCTTTTCCGTGTGGTACCCGCAGACTGCCTCCCCATCCTCACATCTCAGCCGAGACCTGCCTGAGCTGTTGGAGGTCTCCTACAAACAACTATTAAACTAATAACAGTTGGAAAGGGAAAGGAAAGGGAGGCAGCGAGGCATTCCCGATGTTAGCCAGCACTGGAACAGCTTGCGTCCATGCGTGGGCTCCCAGGAGCTTTCCTGGGACGCGACAGCATTTCCTGGGATGCCACGAGCATCCGTACCTGCTCTCCGGGATATTGCTCTGCGCCTTTGCCACGCACAGAAAGCAGTTCCTTGCTTTTGAATGATGTCTTCTTCTCTTTAGTGATGGGGAAGGAAAAGGTGGATTTTAAGACCAGAACCTTTCGCAGGTAAATAAGGAGGAGTGGGCAGAGCGGTGGTTATATTTACTCAGCTAGCTGGCAGAGTTGGGGGAAGAAGCAAGATGCAGAGAGCAGAAAGCCAGGTCAGGCAGCCTCAGGAAGCTTCAAAACTTGTTTCTGGAATTTGAAAGGAATAGAGGATTTTTATTGTAACTCTCATTTTCTACAGGGATGTATTGGTTTGTGCTCTGTGTATATTCTGGTTACGACTGGACGCTAAGAGTCACTTTTTCTTGGGAAAACACTCTCATTTCCTAACAGGTATTAATGCAAATCAAATCTGTGCCCCTGACCACCCTCCGCTTTCTTCTCTCCTCCCGAAGGCTTTGGGTAGCCAAGGATCTCCTCCATGAAACCTTTGCAGGGTTCTACATGGTCACAATTTTGACACCACAAGTAGCAGAGAGGAGCTTTGCTCTGGGGCTCCCACACCAGCGGGTCCAAACTGGGTTAGCAAAAACCAGCACACAGACACGGGATGACCCAGATAAGCGAATGTCTTGCAACTGAGACCCCATAAGTAAATGCATTTTTACATTTGTACGTGTTCGCGTCTTCCCCGTGTATCGGTACAATGCACGGTGGGGAGATGCTCGGTCATTTCAAGTCTGGTAGCAAAGCGTGTGGTATACGGTACAGCAAATCGCGTGCGTCTGGTTTCATTCTGGGTCCGACAGGACGTTTCCTTCATCCACAGTGTGGATGTATCTGTGTCTAAATAAAACATTCAGCAACAGCTGAAGTATATCAATGAAAAGGAAAGTGTTAATCAGTAGGTGCTGGGCTCAATTATGCTGCCAGCGCGGGTGTGAAACGGAGCGGGAGAGGGGTGAAAGCCCGCGGCTGTCTCCTGCACCACTCCGAATTTCCAAATCCTGGGGGGACATGCTGCACCCACCCCAAAAAACCCTCCAGCAATGAGACGGTGCAGCCCTGTTCTCTCTAGCGTATCTCCTGCGACCGCTGTGACCAGTCTCGTATGTGCACTAGCGGGTTTGGGGAGTGCTGTCCCAAGGAGATGCCGCTGGGAAAAGCCGAGGAGCCGGTCTGGTCTGTACCATGCTTTGCCTTTGATAACCCCCTGACTCTTGGGTGTGCTTCGTCCTCACCGCGCCTGCTCTCTCCGCTACCCGGCTCCCGGCTGAGAGACGGCCACGCGACCGGCGTGCGCACTCCGGCGTCGGCCTCGCGCGCCAAACATCGCCAGCCTCGGCACCTTCACAGCTTTTCCTCGGCCGTCTGACCTTATCTAGCCAAACAAAGGCCAAAAAATGAGCATTTGAGAGACCAACCAAATTTGGCAGGTATGAAGCTTCTCTTGAACCGAGAAAAAAAAAAAAAAACACAAAGAAAAACTGAGTTGAGAGTTGAAAGCAGCAGGGAACATGACATTTGGTTGACTTTGCCGTGAGCTCTTTTCACCACCATAAAACCATGTGGCGGACTTTGCAACTCTCTAACTGGTCTCTTTTTTTCATTCTTCTTATCTCTCTCCTTTCCTGTCTCATTTTTTTGCATGACCTATAACCAAAACGCTGACTTCTCGCTGTGCGTGCATTTGAACTCATGGCTCTTCTGCTGGCGAGCAGTTAATGTTCTTCTAGAGGCATGAGCTAACATCAGTGGTAGCTGCCTGACTTCTAGTCTGGTTGTTCTTAGATGCCCTTTGTTACGTTTTTCCTTTTTGTACAATTTCCTCTTCCTTTTTCACTTTTTTCCCCTCTCTGCCAGACACTTTCTGTTGAGCCATCTTCCAAGAGAACTAAAAAAAAAAATTAAAAAAATTAAAAGCCCAACAACAGACAGCACTAAACAAAATAACAAAACCAGGCAAAGGTCACGGCAAGGTCATTTCCAAAATTATGTCACCTTGATGTCTGCTTCCAACTCTAGATTAATTCAAGGATCTACCAGTCCTTGGTTAATGTATCCAACCAGCTGTGTGCCACACACACTCGAGAAAGTAAAAAAAAATTTTAAAAAAGTAATGAAAACATTTTAGAAAATCTGCATGAGCTACACCGACACGTAAATCTGATCAAAGGGCAAAAGTAACTCCCCATCCATGCATGGTGCATGATGATTTCTATGAGCTGGGATCCTGTAAATTATATGCTATGCAAAATCAAAACAGCTCTGTATAGTTAAATGCCCTTAAGTTACTAACTGTATGTCAAATGTTATAGGGATTGCATCTGTGTATGTATACGTTCAGCTGTATGTATACATAAATTTATTATGTATCTTGTAGCTTTTCTTTTTTTGTTGTTTTCCTCCTTAATTTAGTTGTTTTAGATTTCCCTACGTGTTGAACGTCTCCAAGTCTCTTTCTTTGCCCTGATGTGATCTCTCCTTTCTGTTGCAGAACCGCATGCACGAATCACTGAAGCTTTTTGACAGCATCTGCAACAACAAATGGTTCACAGATACATCTATCATCCTCTTTCTAAACAAGAAGGACATATTTGAGGAGAAAATTAAGAAATCTCCACTGAGTATCTGCTTTCCTGAGTACACAGGTAATGAGAAAGCTGGCTGTACAGGAACGCGTAGCAAAGGGATCACGGAGCGTTTCCCATCCAGGCTGATACTGTGGTGTATCGCAGGCAACGAGGCTAAAGATAGAGCTAGAGCTAGAGCTAGAGCTAGAGCTAGAGCTCCCCTTCGCTTCCCTGCAAGTTTCATTTCAATAAATGCCATAGGATCACCCCCACCACGTTTAGTGGTCCACTTAAAGCGTGAGGATGACTTAAACCCAAGGTCTTTGCCGACAAAGGGCCACCACCGCTAAGCAGGGTGTTTGATCTCTGCCCCACGGGCGGTTTCGATGCCGAGCCAACGCCTGCGGGTGTGGGGCTGGCAGCATGTGCCCTAATCCCATGGCCTGGTGCCCAGCGTTGCTCAGGAACAGGAACCCTCTTGCAGGTCTCTCAGAAAGACGCGGTGAGCTTAACCATTACAAATGGGTAACTGGTCTCTGGGAGACCAACGCACGGGGTTTGTTAGGCTGGCCTCAGCTGGAGTCCAGCTTTGCTGTTTCATAACCCAGCACGTTCCCCCGTGGGTCCTGGCTGAGCACAACGAGGATCCCCCCGCGGTTCCTGGCCACTACCCCACCGCCAGGCAGGAGGGGCTGCAGGATCAGCCTCCAGCCTGCAGACAGCAGGTCCCACAGCTTGCCTGCTTCAGCTCAAGCTGGACATTTTTATCACGTTAGTTTAGGAGGTCCCCAGTTTCGCTCTCAGGCTCACTGACATCAAGCATCTGGACATGGAAACGCTTCCAGTTAAATGCAGATAGACAACGAGGCGCTTGATTTCCTCATGCACTGGCCACCCACACCTCTTAACCCATAGTGCAGGCAGGGAAGAGCCACAGCAAGCCATGCCCTGAGCTTGGCTGGGGAGAAGGTGGCCTTAGTGGTATTTGGAGATCAGAGCAGAGGCTCTGCAACGGGGCAGCGTGCAAGAAGCCCTCACTTCTTCAGGCTGGCATCTGACCTGCTAATGATGAGAATACATCACCCGTGCAAAGGCTGCAGCTGCACCCCGCCGCTTCCCACTGCATCTCGCCAGCTTCCACAAACCCTCATTACCATTCCGAGACAGCATAAAAATAAACTTTTATCGTCATGAATTATTTAAGCTCACCGGAGACATCCAGATGAATCAAGCCGACAGACAGAGAAGCAGATCTCTTTGTCAAGAAACGTAGTTGTGAACCGGCAGTACCAAGAGTGTCACATTTCTGGGCAGGCCAACAAATTATTAACCAGAGCTTCCAGTCTCTGAGCACTTGATTTTTCACTGTGAATAGGCTAAAGCCAAATCATTGCTGCTTTGGGCTGAATGGTCTATGACCATGGAGCTGAACGACTCCAGCTGAATTCAGAACATCTGCAGGCTTCCTCTCCAGGGAAGGTTTGGATGTTTGTCACTACCAACATGTTTCAGCCATCTACTCGTCCACTTGATCCAGACAGACCCATGTGCCTGACACGTTTGTCTAAAAAGATCTAATAACGGAGATTTCACAGTCTTTACAGTGGAAAGCTCACAATAATGCCAACCCCAAATTTTTCTGGTTGCAAATTAGATTGCTGCTTGCCATCTTTTGGATGGCTTGTAAAGCAGCTCATCACCATCCTCTTTATAGCAGCGCTTCTATATACCGCAAGATTTTTATCATGCCCTCTTCCTTTTTCCCTTTTCTCCATGAAGCAAACCTGCATCTTTCCCTCCATTTTGTGGACCTGGTTTTGTGGATCTTCACTGAAATCTCCCAGTAACCCCACTCTGAAATAATATTCTTACATATCCCTGGTGCCAGAGAGACTAGAACAAGAAGGAATGTCGGTTTAGATATAACTGTTCCTTCCCAAGTTATCCCAGCCCAAGAGAGGAGTTCAGTGGGGGAGGCAGACCCTCATACACACGTAGCTAAGCTCTCAGCTGACTATGCAGAGGAAAACAAATATAGCTTGTTTCTGGAGCACTTCAGCCCCGACTGAACCAAACCAGTCCTCCCCAAATCTCAGAGTACCCCAGAGATGCTCTAAATTCCTTCAAGGTGCTGTTCTGGAAGCTGGGGGTTATCACAATGCCAGGGACCCTCCAGAGGCCTCTCGTCTCTCTCGTGCCATCAGAGAGGGCTGGAAGTCTGAAGGCTGGAATTCCTTCCAGTGATCAACAGGGATCTGAATCAGAGGTGAAGAATATCTCACCCCAAGGCGTTCAGCAATGCCGTTAAAAGTTGGAAGTTAGCTCATGCTAACGTTAAGCCCAGACTTTAGACCCAAGCACACACTTAAGCTTGCTCGCCCCTGCTTTGCTGACCATGGCTCAGAGGATGAAGCCCTTGTGGCCTTGTGAAAAAGCAGCATTATTAGAAAGTTGCCCTGGAGTTAGAAAGAATTATTTGATGAAAGCCTATAAATCAAACAAGCGGACTTTCAACATCACAAGTAGGTTCCACAAAACGCTTTTAGTAAAATGAAGTTTCTGATATCCATTAGTTCTGCTGACAGGGAATTATTAGAAGACTGCATTCACAAATTTGCTTGCTGCATGCTGGAGCACTGACTGTTTCCATCCCCTTAATTCACTCATGCTTTTAACTAATCCACAATACTTAGCAAAGCAGCAGCAGAATCCAGGGCATGTTTTAAATCAAGCTGGCATTAATGATTCCCTGCTCTCCCAGAAGGAATCCGGCATCTAAATCCTCATGCATTTGAACAACCGACTTCCCTTTCATAAAATACCCTCCTGGTGGTGCACAGCATGTGGAACTGCTCCCAGATTCTTTACACAGGTCTTCATGCAAGAACCTGCTCCCAGCAAACATTTTGCTTGTCTTATTTCAAGCATATTCTCAAGTCTCATGGTCTTCATGACCTTGTGTCTTCAACTAGCAATGCATGTACGTGTAAGTGCAAGTGATTTCCCAGATCAGCTGCCTTCCACCGCAGCAAATCTCAAGCCCAAGTAAGCTTTTCTCTAGCAGATGACAACATTTCCCATCAGTAAAGCATCACGGAGGGAGAGGGATCCAAGAGCATTAGCAGTTACCCATGTAGAGCCCTCCAGGGCACTCGGCAGCACGCAGAAGTGCTGGAGGGCTGCACCCAGGCCAGCAAGAGAAATGGGTTATCAGCCCTAAGCAGGTGCCCGAGTGGAGCTCTGTGTGTGAGCAATGGCAAGGCTGGCCAGATCAGAAAGGATCTGCTCTTTTGCATGACTGCTCTAAAGCTTTTTTAACACAAAACCCGATGGTTAATAAGCTTTGGCGCAGACATCTCTATACAGCAAAACAAGAAACTCCTCGTGGCACCATTTTAGCCACAGCTCTAGCAGCGGGTGCTGCGATCCTAATTTCTCAAAAAGAGGGATGTTTTGTATTAGCTTTTTTGTATTTTGTTTGAGAAAACCCTGCTCTGCTCTGCAACAGAGGCTGGCTCTTTTCATGTCCTTTTCTCACAGTGATTCAGGGAAAGGAGGGCACAGTTACCAATACTGCCCTCAATTCATGGACATGTTAGCTCCTCTTTTCCATCAAAAGCTGAAACTTTAATCAAAAAATCTAAGAAAGGTAAAAAGCTAGGCCTTTGCACCAGGTCAAGTACTTACTGCATTCCTGGCAGGTTTTTTCCCTTTTTTGTCAGCGTTATGTGGGATTTCTTCTGGTTTTCCCATCATAGCCTGTTTAACACTCAGTTCCCTCATCCATTTCATCTCTATAAACAGCACCTCAGAATAAAAATACAGCTGAGCTGACAGTCGGGGAGCATCTCCTCCCTTGCAGCAATCCTGGCTGGTAATAGTGCCCGTCCCTGAGATGGAGATGGGTGGCAGCAGCCTTGTACGAGCTCCCCATGTCCTACAACGGGGTGCTTGCAGGCACCCTACGGATTCAGGGTTACGGAATGGCTTTAACCCACTCTTTTTCCTTTCGTCTCGGCTCTCTTATAGGCCCCAACTCTTTCACGGAGGCGGTGGCTTACATCCAGGCTCAGTACGAGAGCAAGAACAAGTCCCCCAACAAGGAGATCTACACGCACATCACCTGCGCCACCGACACCAACAACATCCAGTTCGTCTTCGACGCCGTCACGGATGTCATCATCGCCAACAACCTGCGGGGATGCGGACTCTACTAAAGCCCTCTCCTCCCCTCCTCTCCTCGCGCCCGCCGGGAGCATCCTCCGGTCCCGCGGGCAGGTCCTCTCTCTTTCTTTTTTTTCCTCCTCAGAAGATGATGAGGAAGAAATACGTAAATCCCTCCTCCCGTCCCAGAAAACTTTGCAGCAAGTTCTGCTTTCCCCAACCCCGTTTTATTTCATTTTGGTTTATTTTTGGTTCATTCCCTTGCTGCCTTGTTCTACTCCTCCGTTCCAATTCACAGCGCTGTAGAGGGAGCTAACGCGTTTCCCACAAAGTGCATTTCAACTGCCAAAAGACAAAAATACTTCAGTTTTAAAAAAGGAAAAAATCAAAGCCTTAAAATACTTGTCAGTGACAGTGTAGTTTGGAACCGAAACTTTTTTTTCCTTGAAATTAAGGGATATTTTTAATTCTCCTTGTTATTTATCTTTTTTTTTAAAACACTATTCCTTTGGGAAGTGCTAGATACAAGATGATCATTTTGAGGGTACCTTACGGCTCCATTTCCTACCCCAAAGCCGGAGGGGTCGGTGTTGAACGCAGCCACCGCAGCTTGGATTTGTATATTCTCCTTTTTTCCAGACAGCTATTTGAACAAGTAAAACAGCCATATCGAGTTCTGCTGGTGTCTGAGTAAGAGGGACGCAGTAACAAAACCTACTAAGCCTTGTCTAAAAGCATTCATTGCCGGTAACAGTTTTACCTCAAGTTTTTCAAAATTAATGTTAAAATACGTCTAGTGGTTTCAGTAACCCGTTTCTGAGGCTTTGCTGGGTGCCGCGGATGCCACAGCGGTGGCAGCTGGGCCGGGACCCCTGGGGCGTAGGCAGCAAGGATGCCGCGGGGACGAGTGCTGACAGGGACCCTGGGCACGGGGACACCCTGGCAAGGATGCCAGCCTGGCTGCCCAGCGACCTTTCCCAAAGCACCTCCCAGCCGAAGTGATTTCAGCACAACCGATGCTCCTGCAAACACGCAGCGTCTCTTTCCAAACCTCAGCCCCGAAACGCTGGGGTGCACCAAAAATATTTAGCCTTGGCTTCTTGTAGGCAGAATTTGACCTTCAAGTACCTGAAACGCGGAGAGGTGCTTTGGGAAACCTCACCGTGCTCGGGTGACAGCAAGGTGTGCAGGAGCCTCGCGGCTCTTCATCGCACCTCGGGCATCTGAATACTCTTGAGAAGCTCAACCTTGCACTCCGAGCCTCCTCGGATGAGCAGAAGCAGGTAGCTTGCCTGTGTCATCTCCTGCCTGGGTGCCCAGGAGAGAGAGAGAGCTCCAGGTTTGGTGTATCCAGTCAGGGCATCTCTTTACCAGTATTTAAAGCAAGAGGGATGGTTTATACTGGCCACATAGTGGAGAGGGAAGGCTCAGGGAGCTGATTTGAGCCAAGTGATGGAGTAGGAAGGAAAAGTGCAAGGAAGAGAGGGAAGGGAGGAAGGAAGGGCAGGGGGAGAGGTGTGGAAAGGGCAAGGGTAGCACCCAGCACAGTGGAATGTGGGGGCACAGAGGGGAGGACAAACACAGCTGGGTTGGGGTACGTGTGGCCATCCATCTGCCATCACCAAGAGCTCTGGGTGCTGTTGGGGTGAAGGCTGAGGGGAGTGTGAGAGGTGTCACCTCCAGGAGCATGGAGGGACCCTTAGAAGTCCACCGCGAAAGCTTGTTTGGTGTCTGGGTGAGACAGCCACCTCTGAGATCCCACTCAGCGTGGCACTTGGGGGCAGGTAGGCAACACTGATCCCTGCCTCTCCTCTGCCTCTCTGAAAAGTCCATGATCCTGGAAAACGTGAGTCTTTCCAGGCCAGCCACAAGTTCAGCTGTCCTCTCTTGGGAGCCCGGGCTAGGGGTGTCTTTCAGGTCCCAGGAGGTCTGAGTGTTCTCCAGTGCCATGCCTCTTTTCTCGCTGTGCCCGTCTGGGAGGGATGGTGTGAGAGCAGCCCAGAGCAGCCCAGCGCACAGGCAAGGGGAGGCAGGGAAGGGAGCAGGTACGGTGGCATGGGACGGAGAGGACTGGCGAGGGAGGCTTGGGGGGGGCGGTTTGGGACAGAAATTGCAGAAGGGAGATGAGGCAGTTTGAGGCAGCGGGGAGGACGGGAAGAGAAGGGCACCTGGGAGGCGGAGGAGAGTCCCCATCGGAGGTTGCGCTCTGCTGGGACAGCGTTTGTGGGACATCCATGACAAAACCCCAGCCAGGGATGCAAGCAGGAGCACCGCGGGGCAAACAGGGGAGGGCTGCGGAGGAGAACAAGGTGGCTTTCACCCATCTAATCTGCTCACCGCCCAGCTTGGCTGGCAGCTGTGTCAGTAACCCCCTAGATAGCGTTAAATTGTAAAACTATTTAGTATTGTACAGTGAAGACCCACTGCTACTCTGCTGGACACTAACAGCAATAACACCAGGTCTCTGCTCCCCTGCTCCGGCCCAAGGGAGTACCCACTTTTCTCTTCACCATCTCAGCCTTAAAATACCTCCGGCGGCATCAGCTCCCACGAAGAGCTGGCCGGCCAGCAGCGCCCGGAGCCCCTCTCTGCTCCTCGCGCCACATCCCACCCACGTGTCTTGCTTTCCCAGGTCCCAGCCCCTCTCCCAGCTCCATTTCATGCCGGCACACTCTGCTGTACAACTGTAAACCAAAGGAACGCTGACCACAAGCCTGTGCATTTAATTGTATTTGGTTTAGCTTAGGATTTTCAGAGTCAATGGGAAGGATTTCCAAAGAAAGGCTTTTCAGTGGGAAGCACCTGCCCAGTTCTCTGGTTCCATGGAAGGGACCACTGCATGCCCCGACCCTGAAAAGATTTATGTGTGTGTTGAGCTCTAGTCCCTGAGACTAAAGCCAAGGGAATGACAGTAAAATGCAACCAACCTGTTTGTTTTTGCAGGAAGAGGAGTTCAGTGCATAAATAGGCGATGTGAAAAAGAAATAGGCAGGACTCCGATCCACCCCTGCCAAACTTCCCCTCGACCCCAAGCCAAGCTTTCAGCTTGCATACCCTCTGCTCATCTCAGAGGTCATCTTACTCCAGGTGAAAGTTGGGCTGCTGTCTGAGGCCACTGAATTAGTCCAGTCCCTCGCTTTGCTTTTCAAGACGGTGGATGATGGCACCGGGATGGTGCTTCTGCCACGGAGGGAGCAGGGAATTAGCTAGCGGGTCGCAGAGGGACAGGGGTGCTCCTGGAGCTTGTCCCACGCAGGTGACCAAGTCCCACCAGTAACACCTAGTGTTCAAATGTGCGTCAAGTGTCAAAGTAGGGGCTGAAAAACTGAATGTTGGTTACATTGGGTGCGTAAGGCGTACGTAACGATTAGACCCCAGTGAAGCACCAGAGCTGTGTGCAGTGGTGCGCTCATGACTTGCAGTGGCAGCGAGGCGGGTCTTGATTAAGCTCTTTCAGAAGGATTTGATCAGCGGCACGAGAAGTTTGGAGGTTTTCTGTTCCCACCCCTTGCTGTGGGTGACATTTTATCCAAGCAAATAAGTAACAGAAGCTGTTCCCAGTGAAGGCAGCACCAAGCCAAGGCTTCAGGAGTTCCCAGCATAAAGCGCACAGGAATATTTTGGTAAAGACAATTCAAATTAACTCAACCCCAGACTCTACCGAATGCAGCCGAGTCACCGGTGCCAGCGCGGTGCGCTTGTGCCACACTCCGGGCTGGATTCAGGCAACCCACGCCCAGCTGTGCCGGCTGGGAGGTCCAGACCCCCTCCTGCCCCAGCCCCTCCACAGCTCCGGCTGGTTCCCTGGCACGTTGGTGATGATCAACGGCTGGTGCTCCACGGGGAGAAAAGGGAGAAAAAGGAGGAAATGTTGACAGACAGAGCCTTTTCTTTCATTTTCTTTGGCATATTGTATGTCTAAAGCTTCATTTCAGCTGCTGCTGCTGACATTCCCTCCCTCACACGAGTGTCGTGAGGATTCACTGACAAAGGCTGGAAACGGCATTTGGAAGATGAAATGCTTCCAGTGTTAAACACTGCTATTTCTCCCGCTTGATGGCTTTGTATAGATTTTTGTCTCCAGAATGCCTGCCAAAGCATCACTCACCGCTGGCCTTCTGCATCCTCCCAAGCCTTTTCTGACAGATGTGCCTTCTGCAGGCAATCTTTTGCCCCGTGCTTTTTCTAAACACCAGCAATCCTTGCAGCAATTGCCTAGAAAGAAGACCTTGAAATGCATCCCCTGCTTTCAAAAGCCGTCTTCTTAATAGCCCCTTGTGCTTTGCAATTGCGACGCTCCGAATCCAGACCCTCAGGGGCCCCGAGTTGTCTTTAATTTGCAGTCTCCACATAGCAGAGATGTTGCAACTGGTACAGCTGCATCAGAAATCATACCAGGGCATGGGGGACATATTTTAAAAGCACAGAATTGAAACAGCTACATATACACCCTGCTGCCCTTCAAAGCTAATGTGGGAATTTGCAAAAGGTGCCCTTTTTGGGATGCAGGAGGTTTTTAATGACTCAGATCACTAGTCCAGCAGCAGCATCCGAGGGGCATCGCGTTGAAAGCAGCGTTAGCAACTCGCGATGAGCTTCAGACAGCAGCAAAAAGAAAGAAGGAAGCCCCATCGCTTGCTCCATCGGCAAGGAGAGGGTCGGGTGTGTGGAGCCATGGGAGAAGAAAAAATGCAAATAGCTCCTTTATTTAAACAACAATTTTGATGAAATAGGGAAACCTGTGGAAGGAAAGCCTTGAAATGAGCCTGCAGACAAGGCTGCAGGGCTGAGCTGCAGAGCAGCGAGCTGCACGTGCTCCCTGGGAGGATGCGGTAGCAGGGCTCGTTAGGAGAACTAGCAATAAACATGCACCAGGAAAGCACACGTTAAAATACAGCCACCTACTTCAAAGGCCAGTTTTTTCTTTAGCAAATAGAGTTCACACTCTTGTTTTTACATACGGCCGGAGGAGCCCAGCGAGCGGCAGGGCAGCGGGACTGCTCGGCCGGGCCATCTGGCCCCTCCGTCTGAAAAAAACTGCTGCCCCTGCCCT